TAAAATGAATAAACCCAAAGTTATCATAAAATCGAAAGCCATTTTTTGTTGGCACAATTCCAATCGAATTAGAGTAGCTATTGGACAAAAATTAAAAAAAAACAAAGTTATCAGGAAATCAAAAGCCACTTTTCATTTGCTTGATTCCAATCATTTTAGACTAGCAATTTGCCAAAAACGAACAAACCCGAAGTTATCATGAAATGAAAAACCACTTTTCATCGGCTCGATTCCAATCGAATTAGACTAGCAATTCACAAAATACGAGCAAACCCGAAGTTATCATGAAATTAAAAGTCACTTTTCATTGGCTCGATTCCAATCGATTTAGATTAGCAATTCGCGAAAAATGAACAAACCCGAAGTTATCATGAAATGGAAAACAACTTTTTATTGGCTCAATTCCAATCGAATTAGACTAACAATTCGCCAAAAACAAACAAACTCGAAGTTATCATGAAATTAAAAACCACTTTTCATTGGCTCGATTCCAATCATTTTAGACTAGCAATTCGCCAAAAATGAACACACACGAAGTTATCATGAAATGAAAAACCACTTTTCATTGGCTCGATTCCAATCGAATTAGACTAGCAATTCGCAAAAAATGAAGAAACCCAAAGTTATCATGAAATCAAAAGTCACTTTTCATTTGTCGATTCCAATCATTTTAGACTAGCAATTCACCAAAATGAAAAGACTCGAAGTTATCATGAAATGAAAAACCACTTTTCATCATCTCGATTCCAATCGAATTAGACTAGCAATTCACAAAATACGAACAAACCTGAAGTTATCATGAAATTAAAAGTCACTTTTCATTGGCTCGATTCCAATCGATTTAGACTAGTAATTTGCCAAAAATGAACAAACCTGAAGTTGTCATGAAATGAAAAACAACTTTTTATTGGCTCAATTCCAATCGAATTAGACTAGTACTTCGTCAAAAACAAACAAATTCAAAGTTATCATGAAATTAAAAGCCACTTTTCATTTGCTCGATTCTAATCATTTTAGACTAGCAATTCGCCAAAAAACGAACACACCCGAAGTTATCATGAAATGAAAAACCACTTTTCATTGGCTTGATTCCAATCTAATTAGACTAGCAATTCACAAAAAATGAAGAAACCTGAAGTTATAAAGTCACTTTTCATTGCCTCGATTCCAATCGATTTAGACTAGCAATTAGCCAAAATTGAACAAACCCGAAGTTATCATGAATTGAAAAACCACTTTTCTTCAGCTCGATTCCATTAGACTAGCAATTCGACAAAAATGAAGAAATCTGAAGTTATCAATGTAATGTCCCCAAAATTTCATAGATTAGAATTTAATTTATGTGTGCTATATTTTAATATTTTGGAAGTTTAGTGACTAAAGTGTATATAAAGTAAAATTTAATCTTTTTGGGCTTAAAATGTAAATATTGGCGGGTTAATGATTAATATATGGATATTGGGCTCGTTGGATAGACCGTAATTAAAGACGCAGTTTAGGCTCGAGAAAAAATTAATTTGGATTAGTCGAGCCCAAGTTATCGAAGCCGAAAGATATAACATTAAAATATTATTTTTATTACTTTTGTTTTTGGAAGAATTTACGTGGAGAGAGAGATGAAAGTTGTTAGGATATTTTATTGTTTTATTATTAATAATAATATTTTATTAAGTGTGTTTTGAATTGGGAGGTCTTAAGTGAAGTACTAGGATTCTAAGTAGGTGGTAGGTAAGTGATAATTGATTTGTATATTAAATGAAATAAAGTAGAGAGAGAGAGAGAGAGAGAGAGAGAGAGAGAATTATGGGGAGCCCCAACCACGTGAGTGGTTGTTGAGAAACCAAATGGACGTGTAGGGTAATGTTTGGCTGTTGGGTGATTGGTTAGTTGACAGTACATGATCCTCTATTGATAAGGTTTGGGTCTCCTATTTTGTTTCAAAAATAGTTTTTTTTTAACTTTATCTAAATACCCACTCTCCCACACATTTTCCTATGAATATTACTGCATATGTATATGGAATGAACTGCACGAGAATAAAGACACAAAAAATATATTGGTACGCACACACATTGTCAATAGAGGCAGAAAAATATAGAAGAAAAGAACGTGATTTTATTATTTCTCTTCCGGAAATTAAATCAAGGTAGGATTACGAGGTGCAAGTGGGTTGTCCCATTTAAATTATTTCTTCATGTTTGATAAATATTATACTTATGAAAGTTATGATATGTGTAATGTGATTATGATATGTATGTTATGGCCATCCGGTACCAAAGATATGATATGATATGAGCTCTTACCGGTTCTAAAGATATGATATGACGGTATGATATTTTAACGCGTGATTTAATATTTTTAATTGGGATTGCACAATTTCTCGTACCCTACTGAGTATTCCCATATACTCACCCTTTTCCTACTCCTCACAGGTTAGACCGGGTCGTGTTGGAGCGTGGTGGTTCGAAGGTGTGGTTGTGTCTTGTTTCGC